CACCCACCCACCCACGCACCCACGCGAGCACCCGAGCGCCGCTCTCCCCCCGCTCCCTCCTCAGGCGGAGACACCCCCCCCCCTCCGCGCTCGATCCCCGGAAGGCCTCTCCGGGTCCCGCTTTTTTCCCCGACAGGAAATCCTGGCTGGGCTGGGCGCCTGAGGAGCGGAGGGAGCCGCGGTATAGCGCCGGGTTCCGGGGGAAGTGGAATTATTTTTTACCAGCGAAGAAGAGATCAACTTCCACATCCGGTAACAAGGGCCCTATACAAAAAGGCGCAGACTGACCTGGAAAAGCTTGGCCGGGCCGGCCATTGGGGGGTGGAGGTGGCCGGGGAAGGGGCGAGGCTGAGGCGAGGGGGAGACTCTTACCGTGCTGGCCCGCGCCTGGCTGCCGCCGCCCGCGAGAACGCCAAGCAGGGGCGCCCAAGGCCTCCGCCGCTTCTCATAGGCGCCCAAAAGCCCCACAAAAAAGTCCCCCCGCGCGCGCCCGGCGGAAGGACACGGCGGCCGCTCGCGTCGGTGAAGCGGCCTGCGAGGAAGGAAGGAAGGAAGGAAGGAGAGGCCGAGGGGGGAGGGACTCAGCGGTTCGGTTCCTTAACGGCGGCTCCTCTCACCTCCCGCCATCGGACTACGGGCCTGAGAAGAGTTTGATCCGCGCTTTTTTTTCAACAGTTGTGGTACGGGATTAGTTTATGGCCTAACGGGCCTTGACAAAAGGGGGGGAGAAAAAGGGGAGAGATCGGCGGAGGGATACGGCAACTCTGAGCGGCGCATGCGCAGAGCCGTAAAAAGGGAGAGGACTGAGGCGAAAAGGGGAGCCGCCATGTTCTAGCGTTCGGTTTTATTTCCCGCCCGAAGGGTGGCTGGCTGGCTTGAGCAGAGGGGCGTCCCTGAGGCCACAACGGCCGCTCTTCTTTCCAAGCATGAGGGTGCCGCAGCATCACTCCTCCCCTTTTCGGTTGGAAGCTGCAGGTTCCCGTTCCAGATGGGTCGCCGTGTTAAAATCCTCCGCCGCGAAACGAAACAGGAGGCCGGCGGCTCGTCAGAGAAGATCTAGCGACGTCATTTACTCCAGCACAAAGATTTCGCGGGAGCCGGAGCGCGCTTCGCCAGGACTCTTGACTCGCCACGGTTTAGGCTGGAAGCGAGGGTGCCCCGCTTTTAAGGGGGCGCGGAGCGTCCAGTTGCCTTCCCCTGGGATTTGTGGGGTCAAAACGGATTCCTTCGGCGGCTGCGAACTGAGATCTCCGTTCTTTCTCGGGGTTTCTTCACCCTGCAGTCACTGGCCTTCACTTGGGGGTGCTGAAGTCAAGTACACCCCCAAAGGAGTCATAGAAATTAAAATTGGCCGGAGGGGGGATGGAGGTGGGCGGTGTGGAGTGTGATGCTTTCCCCCCCTTCACAGCTGGGTATTATCTGTTAATGATGCATTTTTAGTAAGTTTTGTAATAAGGCAAGTCAATAAAGTATCCTTGGCAGCACAGGAAATGAACACTAGCAAATATTCACTTTCTATTGCATTGATTTCTATTTTTCTTACCCACTTTATTATGCCATGGTATGCCTTAGATTTTTAAAATGTTGCATTGTCCAATTTTAGAATTCTATGCCTACTGTAATGTTAATTGGAGCTTTATATTCTGTAATCTGCCTTGAGTCTCAGTGAGAAAGGTGGGCTGTAAATAAAATTAAAAGTGTCAGGAAGAAATAAAAATGAAGAAAATATAACTCTTGATTTCACACTGTATCTTCATTTCACTTTCCCCTTTAATGCAAGTAGAAGATAGGAAAAATTTACCAGGTTTTTTGCATTTGTCAATGTCAGTGTGACCAAATCCCTTTGGGGGTTAAACTTCTGTATTCATTCTTGACAGATGTAGGCCATGGCATCCTTTTGTCCTCCCGAACATCACTATTAACTGATTGAAGAACTATTTTAAATAAAAATGTGACTGTGACGTCTAGTTTAAATACCAAGAATCTTACAATGAGCTTTTACACAGAATATGAGTTCTAGATTGTGGGCACAGCTGCAGCTATCCATATTCATTTCCTGTAGACATAGCAGATGGGAAAAAAAGTAGTGCAGTTGCAGGTATGACTGCAAGGAAACTAGCAGTATGGGCAGATGACCTGGGTCTGACATAAGGAACCTATAATGTCTGACCACTGTGATTGTTAAGTGGTATTTACAATTGTGGCATATCCCTTTTTAAATTCACAAGCTTAATTACATCTTTATTTCTACCACGAATAAATATTTTATTTTGTAGTTCTTTAGCACTGTAACTGGATTGTAACCCAGGTCATAGTGACCACTGGCCCACTTTAGGGAAGGGGTGTATGTTTTCAGTGTGAGTTCTCTTTTCTTTATAATATGCAGTAACACTAGTTCACGTTGGCTGCGGTCACACGTAACAGAAGCCACACAAATGAGACGGAAAACAAACGGAGTTTCCGGGCGCGATCTCACCAGCACATCTGGGAAGCGTAGCACTCCCGTGGCTCAACCAAGGCTTCCAGCCGAAACTGCGTGGCAAAAAACTAGTACCTTGGAGGTACTAGTTTCCGGAAACTGCGGGGCAAGGGCGGGCGTCTGATCGCGTTTCCGGTGGCACCCGCCCATGTCCCCTTGCAAATAAGGTGTGTTTCTTTTGTCCAAGTCTCTGTGGATGCGCATGTGCACCCAACGGAGCATGCGCATTTGTCATGTACACAAAAATAAAAAAACAGTTTGCCGCGGCGCACGCTTCTTCGTTGTGCGCCGGCTTGTCCTGTGATCGGCACCTCTCCCTTGCCATGGAACCTCCACGGTACCTCCACAGGTCCTCCACAGGAGGTCTGATCACGTAACTGCGCAGTAGTTTGCCCCAGGGCAAACAGCCACGCTTCTCCTCTGCAGTTTCCTGCCCGTGTGACCGGGGCCAATGTGTAGGAGAAAGACTTTAAAATTATTTTTACTGTGTCTTTCTACCAGGTATGGCCTTACAGCATCCATATAAACAATATAAACAACAAAAATCAGCTATGGGGGGGGGGGGGAAATCTAGTACCTTAATCTGTATTCCTACCCCTCACCTCCCACTCTGTGTGAAAACACTTTGTTGTTGTCCCTTTGGAGGTGATTTATTGGCCATAATATTTCCCTGCACACCCACCCCTAAATTGAAGGTTGACCTGAAATAGGTTACAATCTCTGCAGAGGAGGCTGTGTTCCCTGGCTTCTGTCACTGCCACAGAACGTGACTGCTTGTTCAGTAGAAGCCAGAGGTACATTGGCGCATGTGTTGTTTTAGGATCTTGTCCCCAAGCCTCAGAATCTTCTCAGTGCCACTGCTCTAGCTGTTTTTCTATCAGGCCTTGGGATGTATGCATACACAAAGCAAAGGCCGAGCTTATTCTCAGCAGTTTGACATCCTAAAAATCTGGATGATGGTTAACCAGTGTGTAGCACAGGCAGTAAATGTATGCCTGAAAACCTGTTTGGCTATGGCCAGGTCTGTGCTTCTGCCTGTTTCCTACCAGGTTGCATCACTGCCTGCTCCTCACATATACAATGTTTTCAGAGGCACTGTGCTTTGGAGTTAAGGCATGGTTGTTGAAAGGGCTATTGCTTATTTAAGTCAATCATGAGTGATTTAGGTGTAGAAGATACCATTCCTGATGCAGTGGGGTGGGATGGGACGTGGCTCCTTTTGTCCCTTACTGCTATACAGTTCTGCGATTGACTAATAATAAACTGTCTGGCTTCTGTTTCAGCATGATATAGTGGTTAGAGACGAGTATCAGACAAGTGGAAGACCCAGGTTTGTCCACTCTTCCATGGAAGCTTGCTGGATGGGACCTTGGGCGAGTCACACACTCAGTCTACCCTACCTTGTAGGATTGTTGTGACATAGAAGAGAATGAAGTTAAGCCACTTTGGGTTCCTGTTGAGGAAAAAAGCAGGGGATGAATTAAGTAAACTTATGCAAGCATGGTATTTGCATTGAGGTTTTTTGAGTATTTAGCCTATTAAGTATACAAGCTGGTAAAATTGAGGGATAAAAGTGATAAAAACAACAGTGACTTTTGAATTTGGACAGATCCTGTAAACATTAGAAAATCTTCATTTGAGGTTGTACTTCGAACAACTTCTGTAACTCCCCAAACTGTTTTGATTCTTGGTTCCTGCAACCTGCCCCTATTACCAATGTACAAGCATAAGATTACACATTTGTTTTGACTTTAAACTTTGTCCCAGTTGCTGTCCTTTCTGAGAACAAATCCTGGGAGTGAAAAAATTCCCCCTTCAACTTCTTACATTCTATGTTTCTTTTAATATTTGGTTTATTTTCTCTGCATTTAGAAGCTCAACAGAAACAATGGTTCACTGTTTAAGTTAGGTTAAAAATTATTTACAGCTACCCTGTTAAGATGTAATTTCTAAGAATGTAGATGAAGCAGCAAACCAGACATTCAAGGAGAAATTGCCTCGCTGGACAGAGTACTTTCCAGGTTTTATCAAGTTTTATTTTTTCAGTTTTGGTAGGTTGTTTGCATTCTAAATAACTGATTTTTACTCTACCCAGTTCTGTGGCTCCAATTAAGTGCAGTTTTGTTGGAATTTTTTGTGTTCCTCCCCCCAAAAAACGATGTTTTGTAGGTGAAAAATGGAATTGTATAATATATGGCAAATAATAAGTTCTGACATCTGTAGCAAGTCCTGTCACTGTGGAAACTATCAAAGTATATCCTTACAGTGGAACACTAGTAGGAAGACACGTAAAATCTGCATGATCAAGTGGTTAATTTTCATAAGTTTGGAACAAACAACTGAGCAATATCTCTGAAAATACAACCAAAGTCTGTGTTACTGGAGAAATGTCATGAATGCTGGTGAGAAGTAGAACGAGGAAGAAGAAGAGATTGGATTTATCTCCTCCCTTCACTATCCAAAGGAGTCTCAGAGCGGCTTACAAACTCCTTTCCCTTCCCCTCCCCACAACAGACACCTTGTGAGGTAGGTGGGGCTGAGAGAGATCTGACAGAAACTGCTCTTTTTTCAAGGACAGCTCTTATCAGAACTACAGCTTGCCCAAGGTCATCCAGTGGATGCAAGTGGAGGAGTGGGGAATCAAACCCGGTTCTCCCAGATTGGAGTCCACACACTTAACCACTACACCAAACTGGCTCTTGTGATCTTGATTAAGCTGGAGAAACAAGGTAGAACCAGTCAAGACAGGAGACCATGTGGGATCACAAAGAGATTCTACAGCTGAAGTGCATATTCCCAGTGACCATAGCACCTGGAGAAACCATACTCAGTTCAGTGCAATGTTTTGGGGCAGAGGTTCTTGGATAGCAAGGCAGCAACAACAGATAACCACTCAACTAGCATTCCTGAATGAAAAGACAGGTACATTTACCCCATATGAAGTACTGTATAACCAGTTTAAGAAAATAAATGAGAAACCTGAACTCCACGCAGAAAGGCAGTATCGATGACATTTCCCTATCAAGTATCAAAACAGTTTGTGACACAGTAAATATTAATATAATTCCAACATTGCTGGCAAAGCCAAGTGGTGATGAACAATATAAATCACTCAATATTACCTCCATCTGAGATTAATAGCAAACATTACACCTTAGCATTGCTCTTTTCACACAGACATAAATGTGAAACATCACATCAAACAACTATTGTTGCCGTTGGTGATTCACCTACTAACGTTACAAAACATGACCCCTGAACCTGAGGTGGACTTTTTGAATCTACGCAAGAGAAAGTATTGTCAGTACACCAGGAGCATAAGCTTGAAAATGAACTGGGCATGTTTAGAGATGTAAAATTTCTGGAAATGTTGAAGCCATGGAAAAAACAATCCCCCCAATTTAAAAAAAAGGGGAAATTGAAATATATGCAATACTTACTGTCCTGTCTAACCTAAACTAATTTTACTGCTTTAGCAACATCAAATGCATCATTTACAAATTATTTAGCATATAAAATCCCAATATTTGACATATTTATGGAAAGTTATAAATGCCTAAGTTTTTTACAAGCAAACTGCAAATATACCAGGTACTTGAGAAAAAACTGCAAGCAGAACAAGGAAGTGATCCTATGCTGTCTTAGCACATGTGCCTTCATTTTTTGCTATCTGGTTAGAGACAGCTAAGTTCTACATTAAACTTTCAGTTTACCTCTAAGCCCGACCTCCTGATATCTGTTTGACAGCCGTCACAGTGATATGAGAGAGAGGTGAAACAGTCAACCACAAGGTCAAGCACATCAGGACAAAAGGACAGCAGAAGACATGCAACTGTTGATGAAAGCCCTGCATTCTCCCTTCATTAAGATTTGGTATCCTTCTAAGTGCACAATTGCATCTTGGATTATATGCATCTTGGTATATGCATCTTGCACCTTGGTATTGTCAGCAAGCTGCCATGGTGTTCTGTGTTAGTTGTATCTCTGTACAGTTGCTAACCCCCCCCCCCCCCCTGTGCGCCTGTATTTTACTCTGCTGTAATGCCTAAGCCAAACAACTGGAGGATGTGATGGGGGAGTATGCTTGCCTGCCAGCTTGTTGCTTTTAGAGCCTGGGAACTGCACCTGTATTATGTCTGGAGATAGCCTGGTTCTCAGGGAATGAGCGCGCAACCGTTTCCTTTCACCCGCCAGCGGGAAAGTGACCCATTGGTCCT